GTGGGAAAGGGGGGACGCTGGGGCTCGGTCTGTGGGATTTATTTGCTCTCTGGGCTCTTACTTGTCGGTAGGCCTGTCTGCTGTGGTCTTTCCCAAGCCTGGATGACTTGGAGGTGGGACAGCGTCGTTTAGTGTCGCTGGTGTCATCTGCCGAGGTCTGGCTCGGCCTCGCTTTGTGGTGCGGCTCTAGCGAGGCTCATTAGGGGTCTGGCCAGGGAGGGTGATGCCAGGGGAGGCTCTGTCTTGTTTCTGTGTTCTTCAGAGGAAGACTCAGGAGCCTTCTCCTGGGTTTGCTTTTCGGTCACTGTAGGAGAGGCCAAAGAAAGTACAAGCCCCCCAGTTTGACAGACTCTCCTGTAGCTGGCTGTGGACTAGGAGACTTGCTTACTCATCGGGTTAGTCGTGATATGAGAACCAATGGAAAACTTTGGTACCGTTCTTACTACTAATAAATCGTTTGCAAAAATATTTATGTGACATCAGTATTCCACTGGATAGTGCGTCACATGTAACCAGAGCAGTAGTGATGCCGTGGATTTTCTGAGTATGTGACACTTCGTGAATATAAGCATTTACCTAAGGTCGTGGCTGATTACTCTCAAAGAGAGATGGAATAGGGCATTTACATTGCAAGGTGGAAGTAGCTCCTCGTTTTCTATATGTGACGGGTTTTATTCCAAGTACATCATTCTTAAACATCTCTTCATCATGCGTCTGATAAAGAACCCATTGAGTGTTATCACCTTTATAATACTTTTGATAAACATTAGGCAGTATACTTCTTATACCAAGTTTAATAGTAGTTGAGATCTGTAACTACTTATCCAAATGAGTTAAATAGTTAATCTGTGTTAATAAAATCTTTATTGGTAGATGAACCCGAATGAGATATAGTTCTTGATAATTGTTAGGAGGGACTGTTCTGTGGTGTGATCTTGATGTCAAGAAGTATACAGAACTTAACAAATTCTGGAATGCATTTTGAATAACTACTCTTGAGTTTTTTCCTGGAAAGTGAAACTTTTCTGTAACTCTTGATCAGGAAACTAAGAGAGAAGAGACATAAGCAGAATAAGTGTTCAAAAGACACTTTATTTTGAAAACGGTTGTAAAAATAGTTAGGGATGGCAGGGTGGAGGTCAGGCGTTTTAACATCTTACTTGAGAGTAGCAATGCCAAGATGCTGACAGCATATGAAATAGGTATTTTCTGGAAAGTAAACTCAATAATTGATGATAGTGTCTAAATATAAGACTTACTATATCTTTGTAATAACCTTATAAGTTTTAAATGCTGCTTATGTTGGAGTTTCCTTCATATTTGAGTTTATTAATATTTAATATTTTTAAAAATATTTTAGTTTCATTGAGTTGTTAAAGGGCAGCATTAAATCTGTCTACATTCTTTAAAAAATAGTGTAACTTCAGTACTGATAGTTTTTTTTGATACGCTTTAGAAGGCCAGATAAAGCTAGGGGTGGTGTAGCTTAAAACTGCATTCCAGAGGTCCTAATGTAAAACTGTAGAAAAGGAAATCGGGTGTAATTCATTATCAAGAGTAAAGAAGTTGAGAAGGTTGGGCAGAGCAGAAAACTTTAAAGGAGTGTCTCGATATTCTCAGGCTCTGATGAGCTTGGGACTTATAAAAGAGGGTTTGGCTCTTAATGATGGACATAAACTGCTGGGTTTAGCTCTTTTCAGTGTTTAACAGTGGAAGCAGGGAGGTTAGCCTTAAGACAGTGGAAGCAGGGAGGTTAGCCTTAAGACAGTGGAAACAGGTGGTTATATGAGCACAGTGCAGGTGTGGGGAAATGAAGTAAAATAAAAATCATCTCATGTGTGAGATGAAGATGTAAATCTATATCTATGAAGCGCAAACAGGCCGAAAGCCTCAAAAGTGAGGAAGGGTGTACATGTGTGAGCAGTTCTTAGTGCCCAGGTAGCAAAGTTTCAGGTTAGTGAACTGGTGAGAGAAAATATATGGAAAAGCTTTGGAAAGGCTTGTACTAAAAATACATCTAGTATCATGCATGAAGGATGCTGAAAAGATCTGTCCCTTTGGTATCTAAGTACACTGATCAAAATACAATTTGTTTCAACTGCTGCTACTTAACACTTGATATCATGCAGGCTGCCAGCCAAAAGAAATGCTTAAGAGAGCATGGGTACATTAATCTAGTGAGGTTTTTGCTCTTGCCTCACAACATTCATTTTACCCCCCTGACTTACCTATTAGATATGCTGGGGATTTTTTCCTTTTTTTTTTTTTTTTTTTGATGCTTGGGTGTTAATTTTCTTTAGAGGATATGGACTTCCTATATTAAAGGCTTAATTGTCAAATAATTAAAAGTTTTGAACTCCATGTGACAAATGTTTGGGCCACTTACCGTCTAAAAGTGTTCTAACTGTAATGGCGCTCAGACTGTAAGGCTGTGGTTTATTCACCTTTCAGGAAAGTAATGCTGTTTGTCTCTTTGAGTTGTACTTGTGGTACACTCAAATCAGCGTAATCTGGTGAGGGGAATGTGTTACTTCTAGCATGTTCAGGGCCTTGTTGTACACCTTCCTGGTTAGGTGACAGCCAGCATTCTGTCTTTGAACATTCATGTTTCTATACTCTGTTTTAAATATAATATGCACAAGCCTTGGAAAACAGTTTGATCTCCTCTTCTGGTAGGAAGAGTGCGCTCTGTCCTTCATAAAAATCATGAAAGATCATGTGGCTATGTGGACCTGGTTTTTCTTATGACTTCTTTAGACTGCAGCTTTTTCCCTGAGTTCTAGCGACAGGTTTCTTTTAAAATGTGACTTTTTGACAAATAGGTTGTTGAAAGGAAACAGTTAAAACTTAATTTTTGGTGAAGCTGGGTGTCTTGTATGGAAGACTTTTTGAGTTTGGTTCAGACACTGAGAGTTTCATATGTAAACCTTTATATGCAGTGGTATTTATCAGATGAATTATTTGGTATCAAAGATACAGTAGATTTTATTTCACATACAGCCTAATATGAAACTAAGCTAAGCCCAGCCCATTGTAAAGTAAAGGAAAATGTGCCTCACTTGACCGAACTCTGTACTCTGAGTGTTTTCCTCTTTATCATGTTCACCTTAGGTCACTTAAGTGACTGTCTGAAGCTGAGCATAAGTGTGTAACAGCCCTGTCATCCTGCACCTCGCAGTTGGTCTCTTGGCCAGTTGTGTTTTCAGGCTGTCATTGTTGCAGAAGCTAATCAGTGAATTGGTCTTCCAGTACTGAACGGGTTTTTGCAATCTGCAATTGGTTTAGAGCTGCTGTGTTTATGGCCCTAGAACTCAAGGGTTCCTTTACAGCTAGTTCAGGTATGCCAGCGTGAACAGCTTGATTCAGTGAAATGTATTGTGTATCTGCGTCAGCGTGTCTGTGGGAGAGAGTGCAATTAAGTACAGGCGTAAACCAGAGATGAACACTGAAGTGTGCTTGTGATGCATGTGAAATGTGAATTTGCATATTTTCATTTACGTATTCTGTGATGAAGAAAATAGTGGGATGGTGTTTGACACAGGTGGAACAATGACCTTGCATGTCTGTCACTGAGTGACTCCTTAAACATCCGGGTCTTCCTCTTCCCGCTTATTGTTGTACCTTTAAGTTGTTGTGGAACCCGAAATAACTTTTCCTTCAAATATATTTCGTTTTCTTTCTAGGAACTGGAGAAATGGCAACTCCACAATCTGTCTTCACATTTGCTCTCTGCATTTTAATGATAACTGAATTAATACTGGCTACAGAGAGCTATTATGATATCTTAGGAGTTCCAAAAAATGCATCTGACCGCCAGATCAAGAAGGCGTTTCACAAGCTGGCTATGAAATATCACCCAGACAAAAATAAGAGTCCTGGTGCAGAAGCGAAATTTAGAGAAATTGCGGAAGGTAATATATGCTGACCGTTGATACATGACACATGACTTGTATCCATGAGCAAATGTGGTAACTTAAGTATACTCTTTTTATTGAGTGAGAGGTAAAAAGGTGGGGTTTTTTTCTTAGTTCTACTTGTCCTGATTTGGCTTGACAGAACCACAGCCCAGCCATGCTAGGCAGGCTGTTAGCAGTTTGGAGTCAGCCAGAGCAGCTGAGCTGAGTTAGCTACAGGTGTAGACCATCCCATAATGTCATGGTCATTATAAAGGGGGGAGGTTTGCTGAGGAAGGGGAGCTCCTGTGGGGTTCTTGCTAGGATTCTGGCTGGGGCGCCTCCTCTTCCTGCTCCTCCTCTGGCCTTTCCCTGCTCCCAAGGGTTGCTCTCCTGTCCATTGTGACTGCTGCATGTTCATTTGGCTGAGTATAACGTTGTGTACCTGTGTTGGTATTAGTGCTGCTTCATTAAATCCGTTTTCACTTCAATCCATGGGTCTCCTTTCCTTTTCCTGATTCCCCGTCCTGGCTGATGAGGCGTCACTGGGTGATAGAGCAACTGTTACAGTTTAGCCCTGGATAGGGGCTAAACATAGATGCTACTCCTGTGATGTCAAATGTCCAGTATCAATATCTGACTTCTTTCTGTGTTCTTGCACATAGTGAGGCCTTTTACACAGTTTATGCATTCTTGCTTTTTTGGCTTATGCCTTTTGTCACAACAAATACTTGGCGGTAGGACAACTTTAGCCCTAGTGGGTTAATTCTTATCTTTTGGTCTGTCTAGTAAGATCCAGTTCAGGATTACTAGGGCTTCAGGGGGACCAAACAGCAACCTTCTGGTAACTATGGGGAGATTATAAAAAAAAAAAAAAACAAAAAAAACCCAAACCAACCAAACAAAACCCCACAGCAAAGTGCTTCAGTGGTTCATGATGGGAGTACAAGACAGAACAGGGGTGCGGGAGGTTCAAAGTGGTTGTAAGGGAAAACCTTTTCACCTTGAGGATAGGCTGGTGTTGGAACAGGTTGCTTAAGTTGTACAGTCTCTAACCTTGGAGATTTTTCAGGAATGAGTGGATAAAGCCCCAAGTAACCTAGTCTGATCTCATAACTGACCCTACTTTGAGCAGGAGGTTACAGTAGGGACATTGAGATCACTTCCAACCTAAAGTATCCTGTGATGCTAGGAATACACCATCAGGTTCCTTAAGTTGTACAGTCTCTAACCTTGGAGATTTTTCAGGAATGAGTGGATAAAGCCCCAAGTAACCTAGTCTGATCTCATAACTGACCCTGCTTTGAGCAGGAGGTTACAGTAGGGACATTCTGAGATCACTTCCAACCTAAAGTATCCTGTGATGCTAGGAATACACCATTTGTAAGTGCTTTGTGATAAAATTTAATGGTGGAAGCAAATAACCAAGAATAGAAAAAGGCTTGCTGAAAAATAAGGTGTTCCCGCTTCTGCTCCTCGTGGACTCTTAACATCCATCTATTTATGCAGTTTTCCTGACTAAGCTAATAAGAGATTTCTGCATTTTACCTTCTTATCTGCAGAAAAGTTCTTTTGAAAGAAAGGTAGTCATCAATGTAGTGAAAGGGAGGAACGGTCTTGTTAGATACTTCCTGCAGCTGTCAGCACCTATTGCAGGAGGAACCAGGAACTCTTAAGTAAGTGTTGAAGTGTATAGAATAGTTGCAAGCCTTTGACAGATAAGACAGTGGAAGCATTTAAAATACTTAATGTTGTCAGAATGGGTGCATTTTCTGTCAGAGGTTCTGCCTTGGAACACCAGTAGCTGTAGCTGTGGTCAGATGGAAACCTAATTCCATGTCAGGTATATCCAATCACAAAATCTAGGTTTATTGTTGAACTTTTGGAAACTTGAGAATTTGGACATAGGGAGAATTAGTTCCCTTTGTCACCTGGATGTTTATATTGTTGCTTAGTTGTGACTGTGGTGTAGCTAGAAGTTGCTGGCTGGGAAGTAGCTTTGCAGACATTACATTGTGTTTCTGGGAGAGGGATGCAGCAGGCAGTTCATTTTGTTAGGCAGAGCTCCTAACTTATCCTCTCCTTCAGCCTTTCTGATTGCCACGTGTCATTGCTGTTTGCTTTCAAATATAAACACTAATCTTTATTGCTGTGTTGTATTATGAGAATTTACAATTTTGAGAATATAACCTGTCCTCATAGTGTAGATATATTTATTATTATAAATAAATAACTATTTGTTTTGAAATGGCCTATTCTGGATTGCAGAACGTTGAACAAATGTTAATCTCGATTGGGCTCTGATGAAAGTCTTGCTTAAATTTGTCCTGTTAAGGGAGTGGGAGAAAGCTGTTCTTTGTATTTGTCTATTGTTTTCTTTTTTTTCCCTTAAAATGGCAATGTAAATAAACATTTAAAACTTTTTTTTTATGGAAATAGCATATGAAACATTATCAGATGAGAATAAACGAAGAGAATACGATCAGTTTGGCCGTCATGGAGGACAAGGAAATAACGGAAGCCCGTTCCATCAGTCATTTAATTTCAACTTTGATGATCTGTTCAAAGACTTTGACCTCTTCAGTCAAAACTCACGGTCCAAAAAGCACTTTGAAAATCACTTCCGAAGCCATCGGGAAGCGCACAATCGGCAAAGACGTTCTTTCCAAGAGTTCTCCTTTGGAGGTGGACTGTTTGATGATGTGTTTGAAAATATGGAAAAAATGTTTTCGTTTAGTGACTTTGAAAACGCACACCGGCACGCGGTGCGAACTGACAGCAGGTTTCATGGATCCAGCAAGCACTGTAGGACTGTCACTCAGAGGCGAGGAAACATGGTTACCACGTACACAGACTGTTCTGGACAATAATGTTTCCTTTCTTCTCATCTCTTTTCTTTATCTTTCAACATCTTCATAATTTTTCTTGGGTTTGTGCTAACATGGAGAAAATAATTTGAACTGTTTGTTCTAAAAAACACTTAAATGTTATAAAGAAATTATAGATGAAACTAATCTTCAGAACAGAAACAACATGCATTTGGGTTGTAGATGCCTCACTAACCACTTAGAATGGGAAAGAAATAATCTCGTGGCAGAAAAAATTAGATGTATTTCAGTTTAGTAAACATTTTCTATAAATTTGAACTTGAACACAAGATAGATATTTTTAATTTCTGAAATGTAATATAATTTTTTCATCTATGCCAGTTTGGGACTGTTTGAGTTATTGAGGCATGGATTGCAGTGGAGGAGATACTTTAATTTTGAAGTGCTGCTTTTTTTATCAAGTCTTTCCAAGGTTTCACTTGCAGTTTTTACCTGATGTGGACTTTCTGTGCAAATTATCTAATTTACACAAAATAGCAGCAGAAGTGCGGACTTACCTGGGTCTTTGTTACTCTGTCCAGCATTGCAAATGTATTAACAATAAAACACTTTTAAAAGTTGGAAAATAACAGGAGGGAATATGTTAAGATTGTGCTTCACCTAGGAGAGTGATGTAGGAATTACTTTTATTTCCAAGTAGCCTTTCGCTGGCCTGAAAAGATCTTTGGCTTTGAATAACCCTTACTTAAGGGATATTCATCTGTGTAAGTTTGTGTGCACACAAGGTCTTTTTTTTGTCTTTCGAAATACAAATGACTCTTTAACAAGGTTTGGAAGGCGCACCTAAAACACTCTTATTTTATGCTTATTATATTACCACGTGTGTGATGTAGTTTCCATAGCTCAGTTTATTGAACTTAACTACTCCTCTGTGCTCTTGTGAACTTGGAACAAGCTAAGTGTGCCTCAGATTCCTAGTGTTTCTGGAAGGATCCAAATAAGAAATAGATTGTGTGTTGATTGACAGATTTATTACCTATAAGCAGGAATTTTTCAGCGTTGTGATCTGAAAGGTAAATTCTTAGCATAAATACAGAGTAAAACTGAAAATTACAGGTGATGTATTTGTCTAATGCCTTGTGGTGCCGGAATCTGCTAATAAGGACAGTACTAATGGATATCAGTTTCAGCACCATGAAAATCCATAACCAGTCTAAACTATTTACAACTAAAAAAAAGAAGAAAAAGAACCCCACAACCAAAAAACCCCACGACAAGCCCCCTGAATACTTTAACTGATGTCAGTCCAAAAGTTCTGGTTTATTTCTTAAGTATTAATACAGGTTTACTGTATTAAATTACTTCCCCTTAATGAGATTGTTGTCACCCACAAATCGCTGTCCCTTTAGAATTGTGAGCTAAGAATTTGCCTTTTGGATTGGTTGCATGAGCAAAATGAGCATTTTAAACGGCAGTGTTCTAAATAGGCTCTGAGTTCTTAAAAGCTTTATCAAAAGAGACGTAACCCTTTGCTTCTCAGATGGATATTGAAAGCTGTCTATTTGCTAAGTAACTTTAACCTTCCCTTCAAGGGTATGTATTACTGCTCGTTCAGTTTTCATTCACTAAATACTTGGAACGGATTGTTGCGTTACATTAAGTGCTTTTCCTTTTTACATGTTCTTCTTTATTTATTAATAGACTAATACCTCATATATGGTCTTTATAAAAAGCCAGTAATTTGTGCAGCATTATTGGAATGTGGAATATTCTTATAGTAGGAAAAGTGCTGGAGTGAGTGTGTGTGTCATTTCCACCCTCTTTCTGTGTAAGTAGAGAATTTTAGTTTCTTCTGTATAATTAATATATGATCAAACAAAAGTCGTATTTTGTGTAGATTTCTGCATTTTTTTCTTTAACATACTCCATTGGTCCTGTGCATTAATCAAATTATCTGCCTGATTCATACCATATGGGCATCCAAGTGAACAAATTATTAAGTTAAAGTTCTGAATTGCTTTCTCTCACAAATAGAAAGTTTATTTAGAGGGAATTTCTGTATGCATTTGGGAAGAATTGTTCACACTGATAAGACTTTGGAAGGATGTGGCCTTTAGTGTTAAATATAAGAGAGTATTAGTGAATGTCCTTTAGGGATGATGACCGCTGGAACTTAGAGGTGGGAGGCAACTCTAGAAGCAGGGTGCAAAGGTAAAATGTTCATGTCTGTCCTTGGTCTAGTGAATATTTTCTTAATTGAAAAAAAAAATTGGAACAGCAGAATGAGCAGTTGTTATGTGTGGAAGAAGGAATATTTAAAGTTCCTACTTGAACCAAACCATTGACTTCTCCAAAGGTAGTTTTCTCCAGTTATGATCTTGGGTCTGTTCCGTAATCCTGAATTGGAGCAATAAAAGCTAAAATGAGCACTGTAAACTGTAGGAAACATGGCCACCCCCAAAATTTAAGTCTGTTTTAAGTGACTGTATGAGTCCGCTGTCTTTCAGCCTGAGCTTTTAGGTGAAAATCAAGGGTCCTTGGTTGCTTCTAGGTAGCTTCCCCTCTTCAAGGATGCTCCAAACTTTATTTGTACAAAGTGTACTCGTTTTCCTTAACCCTTTAAAGTCAAAGTGTGAAACTGGTAATAAATGGATTGGGTTGCTAGTTTTTTAGCTTATAGTACCTTAAAAAGACTTCTGCCTAGTCTGTTTTTTGTCTGCTTCTGTATTAGTTCTCTTAATTACTTGTCATAGGAAAACCAACAAATACTTCCCGTTATTCCTATGGCTTTTCCAAGTGACCTTTTGGCTTGTTTTGGTTGTGATCCGAGGTAAAATCCAAAGGAGAGCTCGTCACTAGTATCGCAAGGTCTAGTGCACGGCTGCCCGTACGGCATTCCCTGCGGGGTATGCTTTGGGTGGTCTTTAGCTGAAGAAATGCAGGCAGGCGTTCCTCAGCCAGCAGTCTGCAGTTCCGCGGCCGTCGGAACACGAGCTTACAAAACATGTTATGCTTCTCACTTCTTCAGAGC